GCGTTTCCTTTAGCATTTAAAGAAACCGGAAGTGCGCCCGATATATATTGGAAGTTACCCTATCAGCGCGTGCGCAATTTACACTTCCAGCACACTTCGGTAAGATCAAACAAAGCCACACGGAGTTAGTTTTTCTCTTCATATTGCTCTTGTTTTTCTGTCTTTCTCTTATTTTGTCTTTGCGTGTACTTTTTTTACTCTGCATTTTGTGAAACACAAAGAAAAACATCTAAAATGTGAGCGAATTTGGAAGTTATTGAGTTATTTTTATTTTCTGCGTTCAGGCTGACGTAAGTAACCGGAAGTGAAATTTCACCTCCTTGGCAACGCGCGCGAGCGTGCGTGTAAATCGCTTAATGAGCCCTTAACTGAACTTGATGAGTTACTAATGCGTTTGAAAGATAATGGTAAAAAGCAGGCTTCATCCTCGGTGACATTCAATCGTGTTGATTCCTCGGACTGAGCACAAGTACCCCGCAAGCAGCCATAAAATAGGAAAGTAGAAGTTAATGTGGCATATGATCAGTTTCTAGGACTTTAATATGGTAGAGTTGTTAAGTATTGTGAAATTTTAGGTCATAACATGGTGCCCGAAGGGAAGGCTGTCCCCGTGAAAAATTGTAAGTTGGAACAGAGGGAGATGAGGGACACTGGTGTCGAAGCGGCTGACCAATAAGCGGGAGGCCTGGTTCCCGTATATAGCCTGCGTTGCAGGCTTAAAAGGGAGAAGGGGAAGGGGGTAGGGAGGCAAAAGACGCGAGGAAAAAGGGGAAGGAAGAAGAAGACTCTTCCTTTCTTCCAGTAGGCTACCCGTATAAGGAGAGATGAACAATAAAAGAACCTATTCGGCTGCAAAAAATAATTCATTTGTTATATAATATAGAATTATCTTCCACCATTTAGCGCTTCCTTATTCGTGTAATTATACAAAAACAGCGCCATATCCCCAATATTCGATTTTTTTTCACTGTGGTTCATTAAGGTTCCCTGTGGATGAGCAACAAAAACAACCGCTTCAACATTGCAAATTTAGTTACCTGCCCATTTTTATGTATTGATATTTGGATATTTGGATATTTGATATTTGAAATATCAACCCTGATTATATTGCTGCTCGGCCGACAGTTGACGTAATAAGATGTCGTGTAGAGGCAATATCCCAAATTTTATATTTGGTACCTGCTTGTCGCTCGTCGCATTTTTGTTTGAGAAAAATAGAGAGCTATATTCGAGACATCTCAAGCCTTGTAACTTATCAATTGTGCTAGTGGGTTAATGATGGAAGCTACATCATTTGCCGAGTAAATCGCGATCAGTTGTTTGTCAGTTCTTTTAACGCTTTCGTTAAATCCACACTTGATCAGCCGTACCGTGCCTTTACAGAAAACGAGAGCAGTGAAACACTGAATTCCATGAAATATGCCTTTTGTAAACTAATACGTTAACTCAATCAGTTTATTGCTGTTGGTCCGGCCAGAATCTCCACGAACAAAACTACAATCGATTATGACTTTCCACGCCCTTTCAGTTTTAAGAAAAAAACATTTGCTGAGAAACGCAATACTCCCCCTTCCCCAAACTCTGGATTCAATTCTGCATGGATATGTTACAACACAGGATTAGCTAGTTTTTACCTCCCACAAGAAAGATGACAATTGTGACTACAGTCATCGCCTTCAGTGAAACCGTCTAACACTCTGCCTCAACTGCTCGGTTAGTATTAGTATTTTCTGGATTCACAAAGAATCACCGACACTCTGTGCGTGTTCTGTGTGTAAGTGGCCTTATCTCGCTTTACTGATCTCGTTATAACTTTTCCCAGTCCTTTACCGTGAATCAGTTTCGGTAACGTCATTGGCAGAAATGACAGACTGCGGCTCCCTCAAAAGAGATAATTTATTATTATTATTATTATTTTTTAATTGCGTACATGTTGGACTCATTCAGTAGGTATTTACTAACCATGTGGACAAAAAAGATGGAAAATTACCCCGTGGAAACATTTCAGGTGAAGCTTATCTGGTAAATTGACTTACTAAAGTCATATTGAGCACTATCCTTTGAGCAAATCGACAACATTTTAATTTAGCCTGCGTTCGTATCAACCACAAAAATGACCTCATAGAATATTTAAATCGTAAATTAAATATCATGCTGTAGTGAGTTACTTCCTGTAAATTAATTTTCGGTACTGGCCGGTGAACGTGCAAAACTTGGAAAAATAAGCTATGTCGAAACAGCAGAGGTGATAGATTCATATATCTGTTAGTTTGTTTGTTTGTTTGGTCTGTATAGTGTAATTTGTTTATTTGTTACAATATAGCTGCAAAAAAAGCTCCAAAAGGGTTTAAACTATAATGAGCCCATATATTTTTGTATTTCTTAATAAAGCCATGTTGTCTACAGGGAGACATGCCACCCGACAGGGTATAACGGGTATCGTTTTTGGCCTGATTGCCCGACCATGGGACATAATTTCATTTTATGTGAGTACTCTGTCCTAAAAAAGGTCTGAATCGAAGCGGCCCTGTAGAGGTTAGGATTGAACGGACAACCCAAAATCGGAGACGTGTGCCTGTCTTAAACAATAGCAAGTCAACATAGATAATTCGTTCTTTCCAGACAAGTTAGTACTTGCAGGGTTATATTGCGCCCAACAATTTCCTATGCAATAGAGGGTGTTGTTCTTCTCACAGTGAGTATTTTAGGTTTTCACGGTGCATGAATGTTAAGGAAAGGAAACATTTAAACATTGCAAATTTAGTGATCGTAAAAATTTACAAATGAATTTACGAGTTACCCCCGTGATGAACGTATATCAGCAAATGCAAGTCACCTGATGTATTGCTGCTCGACTAACCGCTGACGTGATACGATACCGTGCGGGGTCAGTATCTCAAATTTTATATTCGACACTTGTGTATGTCTCGGCGCATCTTGTTTAAGAAAAACAGGAAGTTATATTCGAGTCATTAACTTCAAGCTTTGTAATATATTACATGTGTTGGTGGGTGAATACATGGAAGTGAATACTCTGTTGAGTAAATCGATTCCAGTTTAATAAGTTCTGGTTCAGTTCTGGTTAAGCTTGATGAGTCGAACGGTGCCTTGACTTGAAAAACAACCATAGAAGTATGCCCAGGTATACTAGTACATTAACATGATCACTTTGTTACTTTTTTATGTTTGTCGGCCAAAGACACCTCAATAAAACTACCACCAATCGTGGCCTTCTACATCCTTTGAGTTGAGAAGAAATTCTCCAGCCCGAAGGCGAGTGTTTCGCCGATTATTATCATCGCAGGAAGAACATATATTACTTCGCAAAAGTTAAAATCATAAGGATGAACGGCTCTCCCTTTTTAAAATTAGAAAAGCTTCCCCGACCTTATAGACTGGGTCTATATACGAAGACTGATCATCGCAGTTATACACACAATTTAAGTAGTTGTGAAATTAAAGCCTGAAAAAAATTCAGGCCTGAACGGGATTCGAACCCATGACCTCTGCGATACCGGTGCAGTGCTCTACCAACTGAGCTATCAAGCCAACTGGGAGCTGGTCACATTGTGAGTTCGTAATATACCTGTAGATTGTGAAGAATACAAGTGAATATATGAAAGTCATATATTTAAACTGTGGAGAAAGATATGAAGACTGATCATCGCAGTTAAACACACAGCATGTGACCAGCAGTGTGTCGTTAACAGTGTAGTTGACAGAGGAGAGGAAATCTTCTACGGCTGTAGTAAGATAAGATTTGGTGTTAGGATTATCCCATTGTACGCGAAGAACGCGGTTTGGCCAGCCAAAATATTGTGCACCTTAAAAAAATCATCCTACGTTGTATCGGTCTCTGCTCTCATATCCCATTTGAAGCGTCACGAAATCCTCTGTTCAAACTTTATCATTACACGGGCCGAAAGCGGCTGTCGCCCGTCTCTCTCCTACTGTTCGTCACCTTCATTGGCACGCTCACGGTCATTGCTTTATGGGGCTGTTTTGTGGATAGGATTTCAACAGACGTGCAAGAAGGTCACATGATGCTTATTTGATCACGTGAGTACTGTCAAGGAATTTGTCATTTCCTGTATTACTTGATTCGAAATCAGATATTGTTGACAAAGCCAGCGAAATTTTACGGTTTTTAAACCCACTGACAGTTCTCTAGATTCCATTTCTGAACTTAAAGCAAATGCAAAATCGCGTGACCAAGTTCAAAACGTGACAGTCTTCACCCGACAGAGTTCAAAGTCAGTCCGAATGTAACAAAGCTAAGCAAAAATGCCAATGACACGTAAAATGATACATATCAACAAGACTGATTTACATCGCAAGTTTGCGGTGAATTTAGCGGTAATATGGTCAAATACGACCCCTCTGCTCTCCGTGACATGCTCAATCGACACTTCACCGTTAATGTCACACGAGATAGTCCAGAGGTTGAGTGTCTTTTGATTTAACGTTGACTTTTCGTTTACTCTTACCTAAATATTGAAAAGGAGAAAAAGACCTTCACTGGATACACTTGACAACCTGACGGGACCAAAATTACATTTGATTGGACCAACTCACTCAAAAAATTTCGCAAAAGCGTACTTCCAAAGTTAAACTTTTCAGGAAGCGTAGTTTCAACTCGCAGGCTTCGGAAAATATAACCATATGGTGATAGCTTTCGGCTTGGATGNTCGCCAGTTTGCGGTTAATTTAGCGGTAATATGGTCAAATATGACCCCTCTGCTCTCCGTGACATGCTCAATCGACACTTCACCGTTAATGTCACACGAGATAGTCCGGAGGTTGAGGGTCTTTTGATTTAACGTTGACTTTTCGTTTACTCTTACCTAAATATTGAAAAGGAGAAAAAGACTTTCACTGGATACACTTGACAACCTGACGGGGCCAAAATTACATTTGATTGGACCAACTCACTCAAAAAATTTCGCAAAAGCGTACATCCAAAGTAAAACTTTCCAGGAAGCGTAGTTTCAACTCGCAGGCTTCGGAAAATTTAACCATATGGTGATAGCTTTCGGCTTGGATGCTAAAGGACAGTTTTTGTCTGTCCGCAATTTTCTTATCGCGACAACATGATATTGCGGATTTTGCCTATTGTTCACAGTCATTCGTTGTGTATGTGACGTTGACCAATACGAAAGGAACATTTGGATTCGAGTTTTCATCTGAAGCCATTACCAAGTTCAATTAGTAAAGAATCGGCCTTCGTGCTGGTTGTTCTATTTTTTTTTTGCTGTTACACCGTACAGACGAGATCCAATCAGATCGACACAGCTGTCCACGGTTGGAATTCTTTGCTTTCAGTTTGGACTCTATCATATCGTTGTCGCGTTAAGTTTCCTACGTGGTAATCAGCCTTGCTTCATTGTTATTTCAAAGGGTAGGCTCGCGCATCTTCGTCACGCTTTTGCGACTGGGGTAGACGAGCCTTGCAAGTGCACCACGCCCTATGATTTGGTCCATAGTTGCCAAGAGGACTTTATCATATTCTTCCTTCCAGTTCCCAAATTTAGGAGTACCACACCCAAGATAAACGTAGTTTTAACACGGTTATAATTGTAGAAGGGCCAGATCGATGAACTGAGTTCGCATAATCCTGTTTATATGGAACAGACGCATAAGAAGCTGCCATCAATTAGTTCAATTTACTGACTTTACTGCTCCTGCCTCGTTTGATTTGTAGATCGACACCAGTCTCGCCTCGGCAATGGAAAAACTGAGGAAATGAAAAAAATCTTCAAAACCTCGATCAAACTAATCTTTATATCTGAAGGTGGCTGACAACATTTCCAACATTTTTTCAATACCTCTACCGCTGAGAGATGGACACTACCATTCTTTTTCAGTTCATACAACAATCAAGGAATCCAGATAAGGGCAAACATTGGTTAAATAGGAATTTCCAATCTTGCATTTTCTACTTGATTTAAAAAAAAAAAAAAATCCCTACGATTGTGAGTCAAACGTGGGCAGATGCAAGAGATTAGTTCGTAAAAGCACAGAGTCTCAACAATAACTTTAGGGTCTGGGATAGAGTCACTTTTTGGTTCACTCCCATTCCTCCTCCTAATTCAATATGGCGGCTGCGCGTGTTCGGAGGGTGGTGAAGACTGTCCATATCTCTTCTATTATTCCTGACCTAGCCAACGATCTTACTAAACGCTGCCNACTCCCATTCCTCCTCCTAATTCAATATGGCGGCTGCGCGTGTTCGGAGGGTGGTGAAGACTGTCCATATCTCTTCTATTATTCCTGACCTAGCCAACGATCTTACTAAACGCTGCCCACATGTGAAATTTATCAATGTTCCTGTTGGCTGCAGCGGAGGTAAGTGAGAGAAAACAATCTTTTTAACCCTCGTAAACCTAATTTCAAAGTGTGGCCAAAAGTCCTATTGGGACGTCCCATTTTCGGTGCTATAGGAAGTTTCTATAAGTAGGCTGCAAATTGGGAGAAACCTCACCTGGTTTTGCCATTTAAATGGTCATGAGATATGCTTGTATGATAATTACACGAATCGCAAGAGCTGCAGATGAAAGAACGTGTAGTTAATGCTGCAGTAGTGGGTGACCCGGGGTCCCGGGGGGCTACTCCGACAAAATTTGGGTGGGGATGTGCGGCCCGCTTCCCAAAAACCTTGCCCTATTTATGACCAAAATTTCTGATTTTCAAAACTTTATTTATGGCCTGACCCCTAATCAATACCCTGTCTCAGACCTGCCTTATACTTAGTTTCCTAGCTCAGACCGATGTTAAAGGTATTGTGAAGGGCTTTTTTTGATCGGTCTTATCGATAATGATAAAAAAGTAGCATCTTCTAAAAAGAATGCCCAATTCAAGGCTAGAGTGCAAAAATCAAACACTGTTTGTGATCAAAATGGCTTCGACCAGTACCCTATTTATGAACAAAACGGCTGAAAAACCATTAACCCTTTGGGGCCGCATATACCTATATAGGCCATATAACGGAGTAACCCCCAGAGCCCAGGGTGAGGTTGGCGGAGTGACAAATGACACAAGTACAGTATGAGACAAACCAGTACAAGTTCTCCTGTACATTGTACATTTTGTAGACTGCAGATCACAGATTAAAGGCCATGTATTGTCAGTTTTAGACCACAGACAGCAAATCATAACTCGAGGGATTAAAAGGAACATGTAGCAAAATGCACCCCCTACCCACAGGACCTATACGGCCCCATGTGCTATTTCCTTGGAAAAACTGGTCAGTGTAAAATGACAACTGTGGACTGCAGACTGCAGACTGCAGGCCACGGGTAAAATGCATACCACAGACTGTAGACTTTTAACTAAATTGTTCTATCATTGAGAACTAACTGTAACTAGGCTAACTGGAGTGTTATTTAGTCTAACCCAAGTGATATTTAGGCTAACCGGAGTGATATCCAGACCAACTGGAGTGATATTCAGACCAACTGGAGTGATATTCAGACTAACCGGAGTGATATTCAGACTAACCGGAGTGATATTCAGACTAACCGGAGTGATTATTCACTGTGGTTAGCCTAAGTGATCCTCTTTACGATCAGCTCTTGGTAATGGAAAATAATATATAGATTTAGGCCAGCCTAAAAGCATAGCTCCTGGGCCGGGTTGTTCAGAGCCTGATTAAGCTAACCCAGGAAAAGGTAGAATTTGATTTGAGTTTTGTAACTTTGCGGTGAGGTTTTCTGTCTATTGTTTGGCCTTCTGTTTTGAGTTTTAATAATCACCATATACACAAAACAAAGCAGCAAAAAACATTTGTATAGAGGAAAAAGTTATAATTCGGTTAAGTTTTAATCCTGGGTTAGCGTTAACCAGCTTCCGAACAATCCTGCCCTGTTTTCAACAAGTTAACCTGACATGGGCCCACCATCCAATCGAAAATTAGCACTTGGTCAGCGGTCAACTTCAAAAAATACATGTGACCTCTATGAGCTGTAAACTTGAGTCCACGATATGGTCATGTGATATTGGTCAGCGGATACCTTGTTTTGACAGGTGTCGATTGAATTCATAACATGGATAACCAATATTAAAGAAGTAAATGGTAAACCAAGGTTGCATGTTTCTGTCAACCTATTATTTGGAGTATGGCTGCCATGTTGCACGACTTCATTGCCGTCGCTGTTGCCACCGTCATGCATATGCGCCCACAAGCAATACTGCTAGCCATGATAACCATGAGAAAATCAGCTCATGGGTTTCCATTTCTTTCCTATGAGTATGGGGCTCCGCTTGGTGGCCCTTTGGGCTGCCGGAGCTCCGCTAATAACAATATTTACTTAAAAAGTCTGTAGTCTGTGGTATATATTTTACCCGTGGCCTGCAGTCTGTATTTTACCCTCAGTCTGCAATTTGCCTCCAGTCTGCAGTCTGCAGTCTGCATTTTACACTGACTGCTTGGAATTGAAAACCAAATAAAAAGATCCTATATGCGGACTGTACCATCAAATATGTGATTGAGTTTAAAAGCCATGCACCCTGATTAGGTCATCACTACCCTGTGACTACTAGGAGCTCAAAAGATGGAAAAAATTAGGGCTTTATATTGTGGGTATCAAAAAATTTGCCATCCATTGCACATCTCTTTTGAGAGCCATGTCTACTTTTAATGTTATAATGATCTTGTTTCCTAGTTGTAAAAGTAGATGGTTAAAATGTTTTTAATTATGAATGCACCTAGAGGTTGAGAAGCTACAAGAGGCCAAAGTGATATTATCAGATCCTAACACTGCACCAAGATACCTGCCAAGTCTACTTGAGCTTGAATGGATGCAGTTGACCTGGGCAGGAGTGGAAGAAGCTATTAAATATGTCACACCTCAACAAAAGGGTTCTTTGACACTAACTAGGTTTGGTGGAGTCTTTGGTCCTGCCATGGTACAGTATGTCATTGGTCACATTGTGTCATGGGAGAGGGAGTTCCGAAAGCTGTGGCGTGATCAACAGGAATGCAAATGGTATATATACAGAGTTTTATATGCCATTAATTCCGATTAATTCAAAGATTATTTGTAATTTTAAATATTATAGATCAGTCAGTGAAGGAAAAGCAATTATACAGCATTTCCCAGTTTGTATGTGTCTGTGTGTATTGTACATTGCAGGTTTTTGTCCCAGGGGAGAGGGACTTCCACATGAAAAGGTCAGGGATGTTCATCGGAAAATTTGGATTAAACCCCCTAACGGAGACCAATCTGGGTGTGACTTGAGGTTTATTTGACCCCTAAAAAATGCCACTTAAAATGGAGTAGGCTCAATTAGCAGCCGCTGTTCACTGAAGAAAGGAGCCTGCACTAGTAGACCGGACTTGAGAGACCAATAGAAATCGAGCCAAAAAATGGAAATAAGAGCATTTCTTTGATTATTATTTCTTACAGTGCACCCTACAAAATACTTTGACAGCATAAAATTGTGGCATTTGATCATCAACAACCTAAGTGGGACCGGAACCCCTAAGCAAGATGATGAGCATCCCCAACCTTTTCAAATGGGACTCCTCCCCCCGTCCGGTGGTGGATCTCAAGATTTAGACTGAACCGGAGGTCAGTAGTCATGTGGTTCATAGTGGCACATTCTGCCATGTGCTTGACGTGTCATTGGCTGTCGATGTAGACAGTAGACATAGTATCTTGATGTACATATGAATGTCAATGCTTTGCAAGTCTTCGTTACCGGCTGAATTAGTGAAGATTGCGCTCTCCTANAAAAACATACCAAAAATGGTTTTTATGTTACCATTTACCATGTAGTTTTCAGATCTTTATAAATGTGTTTGCTTTTCTGTATGTAAAGGCGAATTCTATAGAAAGCTGTGAAGAAATACCCTCTCCTTCTGTTTTAGAAAAATGCTGATGTCAGCATTTTTGTTAAGATTCAAGGCTAATTATCTCGAAAAAATATGTGGTTACCATCTTTTTTCTTTGTGGATTCCGATAGCCCTTGCAAAAATCTACTTTTTCCGCAAGGTCCTAACCTGGCGCAAAAACCTTTGTATTTAGTAGGCATCGTCCTTAAGTGCAGCATGCTTATTTTGGGTAGTTAGTGTACAAAATTGAATTGATATGGGCACACTCAAGTGAAGTGAATAATATGACCCACTAAATAGTTTTTGTTGCATGCCACTTACATGATGGTTATCCCACACTGACAGCTGAGAGATTTATTTAGTTAATTTTCATTAATTTCATTTATTTTAGTATTTGTTTGTTTATTTATCTACAAGTAGATTTGTGGGGATGCAGGTTTTGCATTGTTGAGGGATTTGAGGCTGTTATTCTCTGATTGGCTAAGTTAGCAGGTGTCGGTCATGAATACCTGACTTCTATTTTAACGATTTAGGATAGTCTTGATAAGTAAAGGAACAAAAAACTTTATCAGAATTAATAGGAAGTAATATTGTAGGCAAAGGGATGATTGTCCTTATGTGACATCTGATCCTCTTGGAGTATTGCGTTCATCTTGGAGGAAATTCATATCTCACTCACAGGACTGTTTTTGCTTACCTTACTTCATTTAAGGGACAAAGAGTGGGCACTTAATGCTAAATATTGTGTGATGCCTAAACTGACAATTGGAATTCTTGGACTTGGAGATATTGGACAAAATTTGGCTAAGACATGCAAAGCTCTGAATATGACGGTCTGGGGTGTGGGACGCAGAGACAAATCTGACAGGCAAGAGTTTGTGGACCACTACGCAACTTTGTCGAGGCTCCCTGAAGTTCTTCAGTCTTGTGATTATGTTTGTAATATATTACCAAGTACAACTGCCACTAAATATCTCTTATCCGGAAATGTGCTTGAGAGTGGTAAAGACAAGCGTCCTGTTTTCATTAACATTGGTCGTGGGGATGTCATAGATGAAAAAAGTCTTATTCATGCATTAAATGAAGGCTGGATATCTGGAGCTATACTGGATGTGTTTGAAGTCGAGCCACTTCCAAAGGAGAGTGCTCTGTGGAAGATGCCTCAAGTAGTTATCACACCTCACACAGCTGCAGTCTCCTTTCCTGAAGAGGTAAGTCCTAACTTCAGACACAATATAATGACATAATATATTTAAGAGCAATTCTCCAGGAAAGTGAAGCAAAGTTGGAAATGAAAATTTTTAACCCCCCTTCATTTTTTGTGTGGAGGTAGGTTACCTGGGGGGATGAACAAAAACAGCCGTATTTGGATCGGCAGGTGTGTCGTTGCCATGGTAACCGCACTTGATCACGTTGGTCTGAGGTCTATGTTTTGACCAAAAAATTTACTCTCAAGAAGTAAAAATAAACGAGTCTGGTTCTCGG